GGCTCTTACCTTCTTAACCAGTCTGCCATGCAAGACCTTACCAAAAGCCTTCTTGAAGCATATGGAGTTCAGTGAGATTTGTGTGGAGCATGCTAATATGCTTGGGCCTTTGAGATCAAGAAAAGTGGTATTGGATCTCTTGAAGAGCATTAAGTTGGACAAGTCCCCAGGGCCCGATGGTATCTGCCTCAGGTTATTGACAGAGGCAAGAGAGCAGATTGCTGAGGCCTAGACCAAGATCTTTATATCCTCACTGGCTACTGGAAAGGTCCTGGAGGACTGGTGAGTAGCTAATGTTGTTCCTCTGTTCAAGAAAGGAAATAGGGATAATCCAGGAAACTACAGATCGGTAAGTCTCACATCGGTGGTTGGGAAGCTATTGGAGAGAATTCTTAGGGATGGGATTTACACACATTTGTTAAAGCATGGCCTTATTAGGGACAGGCAGCAGGCTTTGTGCAGGCAGGTCATGTTTTACTAACTGGATTGGATTTTTCGAGAAGGTGACAAAGGTGATTGATGAGATTAGATCCGTGGGTGTTGTTTACATGGATTTTAGTGAGGCTTTCGACAAGGTCGCTCATGGCCGGCTCATCCAGAAAATTAAGATGCATGGAATCCACTGTGATTTAGCTGTGTTGATTTAGAATTGGTTTGCCCATAGAGGGCAGAGGGTAGTGGAGGAAGGGTGTTTTTCAGGCTAAAGGTCCATGACTAGTGGTGTTCTACAAGGATCCACACTGGGAACTTTGCTGTTTGTGATAATATATAAATGACTTAGATAAAAATGTAGATGGGTGAGTTTGTAAGTTTGCAGATGATACAAAGATCAGTCGAGTTGTGGATAATGTAGAAGGTTGTCAAAGGATACAGCAGGATATAGATCAGTTGCAGATATGGGTGGAGAAATGGTGGATGGACTTTAATCCGGGTAAGTGTGAGGTGCTGCACTTTGGGAGATCAAATGTTAAGGAAAAGTACAGTTAACAGCAAGATTCTGAACAGCATTTATGTGTGGAGGAATCTTGGGGTTCAAGTCCATAGCTCCCTCAAAGTAGCCACACAAGTAGATAGAACGGTAAAGAAGGTGTATGGCATGCTTGCCTTTATTGTTCAAGGAATTGAGTATAAGAGTCAGGATGTCATGTTGCAGCTTTATCAGACTTTGATTAGGGCACACAGAGTATTGCGTTCAATTCTGACCGCTGCATTACAGGAAGGATATGGAGGCTTTGGAAAGGGTGGAGAAGAGGTTTACTGGGGCGCTGCCTGGATTAGAGGGTGGGAGCTATAAGGAGAGGCTAGAAAAACTCAGGTTGTTTTCTCTTGAGTGATGCAGGCTGAGGGGAGACTTGATAGAAATTTATAAAATTATGAGATGCATAGATAGAGTTGACAGTCGGCATCATTTTCCCAGAGTTGAAATGTCTAATACTAGGGGCATATGTTTAAGGTTAGCGGGGCAAGTTCAAAGGAGATGTGAGCGGCAAGTTTTTCACATAGAGAATGTTAAGAGTGTGAAATGCACTGCCAGGGGTGGTGGTGGAGGCAGATACGATAGGGGCATTAAAGGGATTTTTAGATAAGCACATGAAAATGCAAGGGATGGAGGGATATGGACCAAGCACAGGCAGAAGGGATTAGTTTTATTTGGTGTCATGATCAGCACAGCAAAGGGCCCGTTCCTGTGCTGTACAGTTTTATGTTCGATGAAGTTCATGTAGACTACGTCAACTGAACTATCCTCATCTAGACAACTCGTCACCTGCTCAAAAATTTCAATCAAATTAGTTAGACATGATCTTCCTCTTACAAGGTTATGCTGACTGTCCTTAACTAACTCATGCTTTTCCAAGTGTGGGTTAATTCTGTCCTTCAGAATTTTTTCCAATAGTTTCCCTACCACTGATGTTGAAATCACTGGCTTATAGCTTCCTGGTTTACATCTTCCATCTTTCCTGAATAATGGTGCCACGTTAGCTGTCTTCCTGTCCTCTGGCACCCCTCCTGTGGCCAGACAGGATTTTAACATTTATGCCCTGCAATCTCCTCTCTTGCCTCTCACAGCAGCTTGCGTATATAATGGAAAACATTAGGTTTCAAGTACCTATGATTGTAATCTGTGGCAGCCATTGAATACAGGTCCCTTGGAACGCAGGCCACTCTCCAAACTGTCATGCCTCAATTTATTAAGCCCAAAAACAAGCAAAATAAAACATGAAATTTGAAACAATACATACCTTAGATATGACAAATTCTGCTTAATATAACATGCTGAATTAGCCATAGAATCTTGGAAAAATACAACTTATAAGAAGTCTATTTGGCCATTTCTACCTTGCCTCCTCTTTGGCATGTTTTCTTTCTCCATAGCCCTGTAAAATTTCACCTTCAAGTACTTATCCAATTCTTCTTGAGTGTGGTGATTGAATCTTTTCAGGTAGAACATAACATATCACAACTGACTGTGTAGAAGTTGTTCTCTAATATCACCCTTGTTCTTTTAGTAATCAGCTCAAAATCTACATACTTGGTTATCAAGTCTTCTATCACTGGCAACAGTCTCATCTCAATTATTCTATGGATTCATATCTTCAATCACTTCTTTCAAATCTCCTCTGTCAAATCTCCTCTCAACCTACTCTTCTCTAAGGAGATGAATGTTAGTTTCTCCACATAAACAAAATGTCTCTCAGTTTATTCAATTTCTTCTACACTCCCTCACATTTTGTGACATTCTTCCTAAGGTATGGTGCCCAAAATTGATTCAACTTATAAATTTATTTCTGACACAGAAAAGCAATCAAACTGCTCAATAATTATAGCTCAAAACTGGGCATGCATCGTCACTGCATAATTTCTGAAAAAGAAATGAATTCGTGTGAATTTAGAATCGGTCTTCCAGAAACCTGCAGGATTTATGGGTTCCCTTTAAATCCAAATACAATTACAAAGGAAAAACTGAAGTGATAAACTTTTTGGTTACGTTTTATATCTGCAGCAAACTCTATTATGTATGTTGGCTAAGTCACAGTCTTCATGGACCTGCAATAAAACTGATGGAAATTTTCTGGCCCTGCATCTGAGAACAGAAAGATGAAATTGAGTAGAATTTATCTTGTTAACGTAAATTTTTAAGTTTTTTTATTTCTTTCTTTATTCATAATGATGAAATAATTTTCACATGTAATCATTAACTATGACTATACAGTATAAGATTCTACTGTTTTATCTTTATGGGATGCATCACCAATACTTTTCAAATATTTATGTTAAAAAGAATTAACAGAAAAGCAACCTGTATTGCACTTGATGAAAGTTGGCATTCATTTGAACACTTTAATCAGGTTGTACATGTTACACAATTTGTCAAAGTGAATCAATAGTAAATGCACTGATCATGGCAAAACACACTGGAACACCAATGAATGGGGTCACAGTATACTTGAATGCAAGTTTGATTCCAGCACATCATTTCTAATCTCCACTGCAGACTTTCAGGAAAACTGTTAAAACTTGGCTTCCAAGTATCGAATGGGAATAATATGGAGATGAATAATTCAGAAACTCTTGGCATGTACTCTCTGATAGTCAGTTTCATTCAGACACACACACAGTCCAGCCTAATTTCAAAATGCTTGTTCTGTTTCAGGAAGTGAGGAGACCAGTAAAGCCTAAAGGGTGATATAACCCAAAGAGGAAAGCTTGTGTTAAGCTGCTAAATGGAGCTGCATCACCTTTGGAATTGTCACAGCATTGCAACTTTGACTATCGTGCTGCCTGGATTTAAGGTGATAGAATTATTTGTACTTTTCATATTGTTTTGTAATGCTCTGCAATTTACCTTTAGCTGTCAATTAGTTTATATATTCATTCCATTTTGTTATCAGACCGACACCGATATCGTTAAAGAAGTTCAATTAAGCAAAACTGAAAAATGGTCTCATAAAGGTTAAGTAGAGAAAGCTGGCCTCAAGAATTTAGAGGGGCCACAATTAAAAGTGCTAAAATAAGGTAAAAGGAATAATGAAAAGATTGCATGGGTCATTATCACCAGAATCTCAATGGCCTTTTTATTAATCACTTGCATTTTAAATGCATAAAGCCATTGCTTCTGATCCCATGGGAATGTATAATTCAGAAAAGCGAAAAGTAATTGTCTTATCAACAAACCTTTACAATTAAACGATCAAACTAATTGGAAAAGCAACTAAAATATACCTTTCTAAAAAATGGTACAATTGTGACCCATGTTAGAGTGACTGACAAAAAGGTCTTTCTAAATTGTTCCCTAGCCCTGAATTTTCATAGACTTAGCAATTTCTCACAGTATTTACACTGCAAACAGGTCTATTGGTGCTCTCCAGCATTGACTTGACAAGAAATGGTCAGAGCAAAGACTAAAGCACCTCGTTTGAATGGGTTTAAGAATGCATCTGTGCTGTAAGATGTTTCTTGGGTGCTCACCTGTCCAAAGTGCTAGAAGGTCCAGCCTTATTGCCAGATCTAAGGGATTGAGTAGTGAGTGAGTGAGTTTCCCCTCATGTAATCCTGAACCCACACTGACTCCCTGAAAACGTTGAAAATAATCTTTGTGTAAACTTAAACATGTACCACTTTACCATGCTAGCCTTAATAATAGTCTGTTCCCTTAGCTGCCGTTAAAGACAGGCCCATTTCTGCCCTGTAGGTATCAGTTGTCTCTCTCGCTGAGCATACCAGGTACATGTCAGATACTGATGAGGTTTAGGATGCAGAAATCCCAAGTACATGGAGTCCAAACTCCACCTAACTTCAAGATATATATTCCATCCTCAACAGCCTCTGTATGTAAGGTCATGACAAGTCTTCCGGGATCCTGATAGATTTTGCAGAGCCTCTGCTAAAATGACCATAGAAATATACCAGAGGAGTTGCAGAATTTTACAATCCTCTGCCCCACCCACCTCCATATATCTGATAGGACTGGATGAAGTTAGTAACCACATCATAATACTCACAGAAGAGCTGTCATCCACAATGAAGATGGTACAGCTCTGAGCCTGCATGAACGAAAGGATAGTTGCTGCAATCTTCTTCAAAATTACTTCCAAGGAATGTTGCTCCTCGAATATCAGGGTGGCTAGATCAAGTAGAACCTTGTGACAGAAAGAATTAATGATAAATAAGTGATGCATTGTTTTTTTTTCATGTTTATTCAAATGACAAATTTTTATATATTCAAATAAAAAGGAAATTACTAAAAAGGTACGATCATTTTTATACATGTATTTGTATATCAGGAAGTGATATGCAGTCCAAATTGCTGTGTGTAGTGATATTGTCAAGGCTGAGCCTGGGTGGGTGCAGGGCCCAGGGCAAATCACGCTGTGCATGCCAGCTCAGACCCTCCCACTCCACTTTCCTGTGGCACCAGCTGCTCTGCCTCTGTGACTGTGCCACCCACCCACTCTGCCACTGCACGCTAGCTCACTGCTGCCACTCACCCTCTTGCTGTTTGTCCACTCGCAGATTGCTTCTCTCCCATGTTTGCTGACAACTGGCTCCGAGAAAGGCTCATGCAAGGTCATCACATCAATGTTTCTGGTTCCTGGAAGATTTTGAACTCATTCTGCCGTTCCTCTGCCAGAATTACTATGGAGTTGTTGGCCTATCTGCATCTTAGTAATGCATGCCTCATTCATGTCCCTTTCTTTCTTTTCAGTAAATTCCAGGCTGATATATCCCAGACCTGAGGTTGAGCACAGATGGAATGGTTGGCACAAAGTTGCTGACAGAGACGTAAATCCTCAATCATGCCATGTTCACAGCAAAGCGTGGGAAACCTGAGGCAGATCTGCTACACAGCTCAGTCCCACACCTCCCCTCTTTCTAGGGTCACCCAGCCCAACTCTCAACGAAGCCTTTTCACTCCAGAGTCAAACTCCAACCACTCAGGCCACTTTTTCCACGGTCGAGCCAAGAATCTTTTCGACTCTGCATTCCTGATCCAGGAGCAGAAATCCAGGCCCTAGTCTCTGGGAAACCTCCACTGCATCAATGTGCATTTTAGCGCATCTCACAATAGTCAGCCTTTTGGAATTTACAAGAGATGTGGCAGCTCAATGCGAATCTGTGCTGAATAGTTGCCAATGTATTCAAATCTTAGTTTGAGGTGAAATGGTCAAGTGCTAACACAAGCCACCCACTGATTTTCCAAAACAATAGATTTGGCCAGAGAAAAATGTAGGAATTTTAACCGCGTTTTCTTCCGTACTGTGGCATTGCTCAGGGATAGTCTGAGGTTGTAATGTGTTATTCTGTTCATTTTATTCCACTTCTCAGACACCTCCCCCTGCTATGAAGAGGCCTAGGTGAAAATGCCTTGAAATGAATTATGGGATAAATAGCCATGGCAACAGGAGCTTGACATTAGATTCCAAATTGCAGAGAATTGCATCCCCATCACGAGACCTGATCACCACCTAATTATGCTGCAATCGTGTCAGAACCAGCTTCTCCAGGTTTGGTCTGTTCAGCTATCAACAAAAGTGCAGATGGGGAACTCTCCCATTGCACATCAGCATATTCATTATCTCCTGTACACAGAAGGACATCAATGACAATTAAGTACTGTTGAAGTTGGTGGTTTCTCCAGATGAGCAAATATGTGACTCCTGTCCTTGTAGGGAAACAAGGTTATCTGAAGTTCATCCAATTACTGCTGGCCTTTTCTTGCATAAATTTACTGAATCCATTCAGCTGTGACTTGCTGATATTTTGCACAAAGTATAACACCTACTATGACAGGCATGAAAGATGCAAGGTAAATAGATCAAATAATTTGCTAAGTAACATTCATTCAGAACTCCCAGAGGAAAATTTCGTAGGCTGCTGTATAACTGTGACAATTTAGTGGCACAGCATTAAGTACCCTGGATAAACAATGTGAATACAACTTTTTGGAGATTGCAGGACTCTTCCACCATAGTCATGGGGGATGAATGAAGGAATCTCCCCAAAAAGTCATCTCCTTCTCTCCCTAGTACCAATCAATGTTCTAATGCTGACATTTGGCAAATATCACCTTTGCCCTTGGCAGTACCTGATTGCGCCTGTTTTCAAGTAGCGAAGTCTCGTACACTTTGGCTTTGTGGAGAACAATCCCGCAAAAGGTCAAATAGGCTGCAAAATCCTAAAGACAATAACAATAATGATACTGTACAATGTAACTGAACATCAGAAAAATGTAATCAACATTACAAATGCAAATTACTGTGAATGCTAAAAATCTGAAATAAATACAAAGAGCCCAAGAAATTCAATGAGTTTGGCATCATCTATGGTGTGGCAAAAGTGTTTAATTTTCAAGATAATATGACACTTCTTCAGAACTGAAGAGAGGTAGAAAAGCAATGAGTTTCATACTGTGGAAAACCACAATTAGTTGTGGTTTAATTTCCAACTCTCAATCTTTCCTGTTGTATAGCTTCAGAAGTAGTCAAGGTTAATACTCAGACCATAGCAGAATCAATTTACTGAAAAAGTTTCAACAGAAGAATAAAGCACAATTGTTATCTTGACAATGCTATACATTCTAAATAATTGTCAACATGTTGAATAATCCGTATCAATGAGGTGATTTGGCAGCTTCCTAACAGGATCAAAGCTCAAATGGACTTCTTGAAATGGATTAGATGTTTTCTATCACAGACAACACTACTCTTACAATTGCTTTATATCTATAACAACACAATTTAAATTTCAAAAAGATATTTATTTTCCAAATTATAACCAAATATTTGAATTTATATTACCACTAAGCATCAGAAGGCATTCTCAATAAAATCCAATGAGTAATTCATTAGAAACATCATCTAGAAAAGAGTTAATTGATACTCTCGAGGCCCAGCTGACCAGAACAAATGTTAAAAAGCCGAATGGCAACGAGGCTTTCAATTTCATTGTCATAGTTCAAGTTTCATCCACCCTTCTTGGAGTTTTTGACCTCAAATAAAGCTGCAGGTTGGAGACAGATTTGCAGTCAGAATCAGATTTATGAGATGCTAACCTACTCTGCATAACTCTAGCCCGCTTCTTTTTATCAAAACTTCCCTCAAGAGTGTTTGGATCCCATATAAGAACATAAGAACTAAGAGCAGGAGTAGGCAATTCAGCCCCTTGAGCTTGCTCTGCCATTTAATTATGATCATGGCTGATCTTATCTCGGCCTCAACCACACTTTTCCACTGCTTGCCATAACTTTTTAAACTGTTAATATAAAAATCTCCTCCTTAAATTTATTCACTGTAATGAATTCCACAGATTCACTAGCCTTTGAGAGAATTAATTCCACCTCATCTCTGCCATCCCTTATCCTAAACCTGTGATCTGTCATTGCAGTGATTGCCTTACAAAGGGAAACATCCAATCTATATCTACTTTGTCAATCCCATTTAGCATCTTATGTACCTCAATGAAGTCACCTCTTATTCTTCTAAACTCTATTGAGTATAGGGCTAAAGAATTCCATCTCTCCTCATAAGACAAGCCTTTCATTTCTGGAATTAATCTATATTCCTATTAGAGAGATATTTACGCAGCCGAATGTTAATTGCAACAATAATAATCTTGCATTTATATAGCACAGTACCATATCTCAAGAATGTCTTAATATATTTCAAATATTAGGTATGATTTGCATGCGGATCTAATTAAGAATAATTGCATTATTCTGTTTTTCACTTTGTTGATTGAGTCAAGTATGTTGGTTAGAATATCAATGCATGCTTCTATAATTCAGTGTGCCCAATGCAAATTGGAACTTGCAGAAGGTCAATTTCAAGCAAGTTGTGCTCCCTTTGCCCTCTATCTTTTCTAAGAAAGCACAGTGGAGGAGTGGTTAGCCCTGCTGCCTCACAGTGCCAGGGACGTGGGTTTGATTCCACCCTTGGACGACTATCCATATGGAGTTTGCACATTCTTCCCATGTTTGTGTGGGTTTTCTCCAGGGGCTTGGTTTCCTCCCACAGTCCAAGGATGTGCAGGTTAGGTGGATTGGCCATGCTAAATTGCCCCATAAAGTTCAGGGATGCACAGGATAAGTAGGTTAGCCATGAGAAATGCAGGGTTACAGGGATAAGGCAGGACGGGTGGTGGGATACTCTTCGGAGAGGTGTTGTGGAATTGCTTCCACGCTGTAGGAATTCTATGATTAACAAACTTTGCCCTCAAAATTAACGTGGTAGAAAACTTCCTGCTCTTTTTTGAATTATACAAGGGATCTGTAATACCCATCTGAATCAGTAAAACAAGTAAACACCTCACTCATCGCATCTATATACAACTCAAAATAACTGGGAACCGGGCCAAAGTTCAACAGTTCTTCCAAAAATTGGCAGGTTACAAAGGACTAAATAGTCTTTTTCTGCACTGTAATATTTCACGATTCTACCATTCACAAGGATGCATTTACTCAACCACTGGCTTATATTCTATGCTGAATTATTGGAACTCAAAAATATTACCTATTGCCCACTTGAGAAAATACATTAGGTGCTTATCACCATAATGGAACTCTATCTCAGTACATTCCAATATATTCAATTGTGGAGGGTTAAGTGGAAAACAAATGGAGAAGAAGGAGAGAGACAAAGTAAACCCAAGGTTGTAGCAGCTCAACGAACTCTGAAAATTTACATTTGTGTACCCAGGAATTATACAGTTAATACATAACCCAAACAACTGGGACTTCGCTGGCAAGTAGTATTTCAATTCTGTACAATTAAATTTGAGTGTAGATTACTGCTGTAATCTATTTTATTTGTTGCAAAAATGAAGATACAAAACACGGAGGCACTTTAACATAAAGCCGGTATTTACAGGCCTAATGCAACAATGAGAAATGCAGTGGAAGACCAATATAATGTAAACCAATGTATAACCAATTCATTTTTAGTGCCGGGATCTCATGGCTACCAAAATAAATCCCATATTGGTTAGTGAAAGTGCAACAAATTCAGGACTTCTTCTATCCTCTGACACAAACTGTAATCACACCTCTATTATATAGGTACTTAGAAGTACACATCATTTGACTTGATTATTTTCTTGATTGTTACTGCACTAAATTTCTCACAATTGTCTTGTAATGATGACTGAAATAGTACCACACTGTTGTACCAACTCCCTACCCTCTTGTCAAAATGATTGTCCAACTGCAGCATTTAGTGTCAAAGCTCATTTTACTATAAAATGAAAGTTCTAACTATTATTTATACATCTCACCTCACAGATAGTATCATCTCCCCCATAGTGAACTAGGGGTGTAATAACTGAAGAGGTGATTCTGGGAAGATGCACTCATCAATGAAACAATGAATTGTCTATTTATAACAGTAAATTGTTTAAAGATAAGTTCAGTGATAGATTAATAGGATGGATTCTATAGCAATATCATGCATCAGCTGAAAAGAGGTTAAGACGATTTAAACATTAATTGACTGTTTGTAAAGTTCTGCTGGAACATAGTCTGACTATAACACAGTTTCATTTCTTGGACGCCAGCCTCTGCATTACATCATACTTCCACTGTAATAGATTAGACACATCATAAAAGTTAAACTGCTTTTAAAATAAATCCTTCTTTCTTCCTTTTAAATGAGCTTTGCATATATTTGCTTTCATTTATTTCATTTGTGTTACATAGAAATATAAAGAAACCTTACTGATTTACCCAAAAAATCCTCCATGGATCCAGCATGTAATAAGTGATCCTATTATGCTGTTCATTCAAGGGACTTGGCACAATATTGCTGGAATATATCTATAATTTAGAAATAAGTCATCTGGCCTAGTCTCTTTGTATAGTAATTCCTTATCATTCAAACAGATCAAAGGTTACTTTTCAACAGAATGAGTAATCAGACTTAAATTGTTGCATTTATTTTACCTTCTCATCTTTTTTGGTGAATGCTCCATTTGTTCCACATTTTTTGTTGATTGCTTGAGCGACACCAACAACCTAGTAAGACAAAATAATTAAACAGATGCTAGACTTAGCTATATGTGCAATGACTCTAAAGAAAATTTATATCATTGCATTGGAATCTAAATGAATAAAGTAAATGGAATAGTTAACAAAGCCCAACACAGTTGCTGAAAATATATTGATTTCTCTTATTCCTAATTATTCATTGCATTTCATTTGGATTGTAACACAATTTGTCCATCTGCAATTAAGAAAAAAGAAACCAATGAAATCCAACTGACTGAAGGTGGAATTTCCCCATTCATTTTAAAAATGTAGGGGCGAGCATGTTAGGTGGCAGCCCATCCAATCAGACACAACCAATCATCAACCAATCAGACACAACCAATCACCAACCAATCAGCTGATGAAGAGCTTCAAGCAAACTTTGGTGAGTTTCTTGGCAAATCACAGGCCTCAGAACTGGTGTCCAGGACGCCAGAAGCCACAAGCCAATCAGAGACCAGCAACCTCTGGATTCTAGATCAAAGTCTACTCCTTGAGGGATCCAGCTGAAAGAAGGCGAATTACTTTTACACTGTTCTCGCAAGGTTGCGGGGGGTGGGGGAGTGGTCTCATAGGGAGCAGGGTAAAGGGGTCACACACAAAGGCAGAGAGTGGCTTTCAGAGACCATCCATCTTCCCCTCCCCACATCCATGCCTCCGACTGCCCCCAGTTTGGACAAGTAGATCCCTCCCAAAAACAGTTATTAGTTTAGAGATAGTAAGAACTGCTGATGCTGGAGTCAGAGATAACATAGTGTGGAGTTGGAGGAACACAGCAGGCCAGGCAGCATCAGAGGAGCACGGAAGTTGATGTTTCAGTGAGGAAGGGTCCTGACCCGAAACGTCAACTTTCCTGCTCCTCTGATGCTGCCTGGACTGCTGTGTTCCTCCAGCTCCACACTGTGTGATCAGTAATAAGGTTACTCTGATTTCACAGTCATTAAACTAACCGACATTCTCGCTGTTTGAGGAGATACATGATCAGGAAGGTAGTGATTTGAGCCCCTTAACTGATCCCTTAGGACATTAATTGGTGCTGCGTCAATAAAGTACCTTCTCACTTATAACTTAATAAAGTGCTGAGAAGCAACAGAGTTTCTCTCCAGAGTCATAGAGGCGTAGAGTCATACAGCACAGAAACCGACTCTTTGGTCCAACTAGTCCTTGCCAAACATAATCCCCAGCTGAACTAGTCCCAACTGCTGGCTCCTGGCCCATATCCCTCCAAACCTTTCATATTCATGTACTTTTCCAAATGTCTTTTAAAGGTTGTAATTGTACCCACATCCACCACATCCTCAGGAAGTACATTTCACATGCCAACCACCCTTTGTCTAAAAAATTTGCTCCTCGTCTTTTTAAAATATTTCTCCTCTCATTTAAAAATGTGCCACTAGTCTTGAAAACACCATCCTAGGTAAAAGACAACTACCATTAACTCTATTGATATCCTTCATTATTTTATGAACTTCAATAAGTTCGTCTCTCAACCTCCTACGCTCCAGTGACAAAAGTCCCAGCCTATCCAGTTTTTCCTTATAACTTAAGCCTTCCATTCCCGGCAACATCCTGATAAATTTCTTCTGAACCCTCTCCAGCTTAATAATATCCTTCCTATAACTGGAAAACCAGAACTGGACACAGTATTCCAGAAGAGGCCTCACCAATACAACCTGTACAACCTCAACATGACTTCCCAACTCCTATTCTCCTATACTCAAAGGACTTGCTCAAATATTTTCCCTTCTCACTGCCTCTCCCTCCATCTCCAGGGCGGAGAAAATTGTCCCCTAAGTTTAATTTCCCATTAAAAATTATTTCCTGAATCTTTTGCTGGACGTTCAATTGAATCCAACCAATTTGAATATATAAGTCTGGAAAAACAATAAGCCAGTGTAATCAGAGTTTGCAGGAAGTAGTATATCAGATTTTTAAATAAACTGTTTCTTTTTGCTTTTGGTTTTCTGAAGCTGGATAAACTAAGACAACGAGACATATTTTCTGATTGACCTTCTATCAAGCATTAGTGGGGTGAAATGTTCTTAGGATGTCCCAACTGTTACTACACTCACCAAACATGATGTTATTTATATTGCTCCACACATTGACTTTGCTTTATGATCTCTGTGACATTTGTGATTAGTCAGCAGGGAGGTATTGATGGGTCAGCACCAGCATCCACGGAGAAGATTGTTGAGTGCAAAAGATTGATGAAGATGATACACGCCCCTTTTCACAACAGTAGCTGCCTTTTTTGGGCAAGTTTTTAAAAGGTCCCAAGTGAATGGATTAATGAACGGAGGAGTAGATGAGTGGGTGAATGGGCAGCAAAAGGTTCCATGACGGAATCTTGAAGAAATTGAGCAAAATTATGCTGTGGCCTGATTTATCCCTTACTCAAGATTACAAACAACGGAACTATCCAGTAATTTTCAATTGCTGGTTGAGGCTTTTACTCCGAGCAACTACATTTCTTAAAAGAAATCACTGGATGTGAAATGCTTTTGGATTTCTTGGATTTGGAAAGATGTTATATAAATACAAATCTTTAAAGTAGGTGTGGTCAGAAACAATTTTTAGCGTGGATGATGGCCTCACTTGTCACTTCAAAGCGATATTCAAGCAGGGAAGTGCTGAAGCAAATCTGGAGGGTGCTGGACTAAGCTGGTACAGCAGATGATTGGTGTTACTGACAGAATTAGCCTAATGGAGTATGTTCCTGTAAGCTCCTGATGGAATAACTCTGGTCCTGTAAGACTCCTGACTTGGAACCTGTGTGCTTATTTCCTTCCGATTGCTACCAGGCAAGTTAATATCACGTCTTCCTGTCAATTGCATTTGAAGATACTGTTAGTTTTCCATAAATTCAGCCAAACCTGACTGCACTTCTTATTGGATTTCCTTCATTACAAAAATCAAAATTAAGGAAGAATTTCCTTCTCAATTTTATGAACATACTGGGGCACCAGGCACAATGTCTTCTCACCAACTAAGTCAAAAGAGAAAAGAAACAGAACAAAATAGAGATTTGACATTTTTCATGCTTCTTTGCACGTTAAATGTTCCTCTGTAAAATACACATCAAAACACATAGCTTCCTACACCTATTGGGAGTATTTTCACAAGCAAATGTGAGGTGGTTTTGGGTTGTGTATGGTTAGTTAAATGTTCTAAAAAGTGATGTCTGATAAAATTGAGAACTGTTTTCAGGCAATTTATTATATATTAATACAAAATACATGGTAATCATAGCGAAACCTAACTCTGATCTTATAGCACATAAACAGAAGTTGCTGGAAAAGCTCAGCAGGTCTGGCAGCATCAGTGAAGAAAAAAATCAGAGTTAATGTTTCAGGTTGAGTGACCCTTCCTCAGATCTTATAGCTAGAGTAGATGAGAATTCTGCTTTTTGTGTACATATCCAAGTGCTTTTAAGGCTCTTTTTCATTCCAGGGAGCAGTATATTGTAGTCCAGTGGCCTGGTATAGTAGTGATCTATTCTTCTAGAATGTTCTAATTCCATCCATATTGTGCTATTTATGTTCAGTGATGTGCTCCTCCATAACAACATCAGCAAGGTTACTCCAGGGTCCTGAAGTCCTCACACAATAGGTCCTAAAACCATCCACGACATAAATAAGTAACCAATCTGTTTTGATGAGTGTTGGTTAAGGAATAATTATTAAGCCACATATATTTATTCTCCATAATAGGATACAGATTTCGATAATAACTTATAACTAATTGCTCTTACCTAATCAATTCACTTTTTTTCAAAGTAGGTGAAGAGGGATTTCAATCAAATGATAATATATCTTTGGCAGAATTAATCAATTGCAAGTGGAAACAGGCGCTTGAATTCTGAAGCACATCAGTCTCTCTATTGTATGATACTGTGCACAAAACATTGTGAGCCAATATTCTTTATAGAAATCTTTCTTCTGTACAAATGTTTTTACACTCTCCGATGTGAAAACACACTCTAGTCTGAGCACTAATTATCAGTAACAGGAACTCACATTAATTCAGAAATATATTACAAGAACTATAGACCAGTGAGCCTGACTTCAGTGGTGGGTAAGTTGTTGGAGGGGATTCTGAGGGACGAGATTTACATGCATTTGGAAAGACAAGGACTGATTAGGGATAGTAAACATGGCTTTATGTGTAGGAAATCGTGTCTCACTAAATTGATTTTTTTGAAGTAGCGAGAAAAGAAGATTGATGAGGGCAGAGCAGTAGACTTCAGCAAAGTGTTCAATAAGGTTTTGCATAGACTGGTTAGCTAGGTTAGATTACACGGAATCCAGGGAGAGCTAGCCAATTGGATACAAAATTATCTTTAAGGTAGGAGACAGAGGGTAGAAGTGGATGGTTGCTTTTCAGACTGGTGGCTGTGACCAGTAGTGTGCCTCAAGGATCACTGCTGGGTCCATTGCTTTTTGTCATTTATATAAATGATTTGGGAGGTGATGGCCTAGTGGTATTATTACTGGACTATTAATCCAGAGACCCAGATAATGTTCTGGGGACCTGGGTTCAAATTCCACCATGGCAGATGGTGGAATCTGAATTCAATAAAACATCTGGAATTGAGAATCTAATGATGACCATGAATCCATTGCCAATTGTTGGAAAAACCCATCTGATTCATTAATGTCCTTTAGGGAAGGAAACTGTCATCTTACCTGGTCTGGCCTAGGTGTGACTGCAAACCCACAGCAATGTGGTTGACTCTGAACTGCCCTCTGAGCAATTAGGGATGGGCAATAAATGCTGCCCAGCCAGCGATGCCCTCATCCCGTTAATAAATAAAAAAAATATATAGGAGGTATGGTTAGTAGTGGACAGTGAAGATGATGATTTCAGAGTACAATGGTACCTTAATCAGATGAACAAATGGCCGAGCTGTTTTAATTGAAGTTTAATTTAGATAAAAGTGAGGAGTTGCATTTTGGTAAAGCAACCAGGGCAAGACTTAAACAGTT